TGGAATATACGCTTTGATAAGTTGATCAAAGCATATAGTTTTATACAGACTTGCGGTGAAGCCTGTATTTACAAAAAGTGAGTGGGAGCACTACAGCCTTTCTGATAAGTATATGTGAATGGCATATTATTGATCGAAAATGATGTAGAATTTTTCTGAAAAGCATAAAGGATAATTTGAAAGGAGTTTTTCAAAGAAATAATTAACTGTAAAGCTACTTACATATTGGGCATCAAGATCTATAAAGATAGATCAAGACGCTTGATAAGACTTTCGATGAGTACAAACCTTGATAAGATTTTGTAGGAGTTCAAAATGAATCAGTCAAAGAAGGAGTTCTTTCCTAAGTTGTAAGGTGTGAAATTGAGTAAAGACTCAAAACCCAGCCACTGCAGAAAATAGGAAAAGAATGAAAAGTCATTCCCTATGCCTCGGTCATAGGTTCTATAAAGTATGCTATGTTGTGTACCAGACCTATTGTATTCCTTAGCATGATTTTGGCAAGGGGGTACAATAGTGATCTAGGAGTAGATCACTGGACAGCAGTCAAAATTTTCCTTAGAGGACTAAGGAAATATTTCTCGGTTATGGAGGTGATAAAAGAGTTCGTCGTAACGAGTTATGTCGATGCAAGCTTTTTACACCGATCTAGATGGCTCTAAGTCTCAATCTAGATACATATTGAAAGTGGGAGCAATTAGCTAGAGTAGCTCCGTGCAAAGTATTGTAGACACAGAAATTTGCAAAATACATACGGATCTGAATGTTGCAGACCCATAGACTAAACTTCTCTCACAAGCAAAACATGATCACTCTTTGGGTGTTAATCACAAGCAAACATAAAGATGTGAACTAATCACATAAAGATGTGAACTATTCACATGACGATGTGAACTAGATTATTGACTCTAGTGCAAGTGGGAGACTGAAGGAAATATGCCCTGGAGGCAATAATAAAGTTGTTATTTATATTTCCTTATATCATAATAAATGTTTATTATTCGTGCTAGAATTGTATTAACCAGAAACTTAGTACATGTGTGAATACATAGACAAACAGAGTGTCACTAGTATGCCTCTACTTGACTAGCTCGTTAATCAAAGATGGTTAAGTTTCCTAACCATTGACACGAGTTGTCATTTGATTAATGGGATCACATCATTACAGAATGATGTGATTGACTTGACCCATCCGTTTAGCTTAGCACTATGATCGTTTAGTTTATTGCTATTGCTTCCTCTGTAACTTATACATGTTCCTATGACTATGAGATTATGCAACTCCCGAATACCGGAGGAACACTTAGTGTGCTATCAAACGTCACAACATAACTGGGTGACTATAAAGATGCTCTACAGGTGTCTCCGATGGTGTTTGTTGAGTTGGCATAGATAGAGATTATGATTTGTCACTCCGTGTATCGAAGAGGTATCTCTGGGCCCTCTCGGTAATGCACATCACTATGAGCCTTGCAAGCAATGTGACTGATGAGTTAGTTACGGGATGTAGCATTACGGAATGAGTAAAGAGACTTGCCGGTAACGAGATTGAACTAGGTATTGAGATACCGATGATCGAATCTTGGGCAAGTAACATACCGATGACAAAGGGAACAACGTATGTTGTTATGCGGTTTGACCGATAAAGATCTTCGTAGAGTATGTAGGAACCAATATGAGCATCCAGGTTCCGCTATTGATTATTGACCGGAGATGAATCTCGTTCATGTCTACATAGTTCTCGAACCCGTAGGGTCCGCACGCTTAATGTTCGGTGACGATCGGTATTATGAGTTTATGTGTTTTGATGTACCGAAGGTAGTTCGGAGACCCGGATGTGATCACGGACATGATGAGGAGTCTCGAAATGGTCGAGACATAAAGATTGATATATTGGACGGCTATATTCGGACACCGGAAGTGTTCCGGGTGGTTTCGGGTAAAACCGGAGTGCCGGAGGGTTACCGGAACCCCCCGGGGAACTAATGGGCCTAGATGGGCCTTAGTGGAGAGAGAGAGGGGCTGCCAGGGTAGGCCGCATGGCCCCTCCCCCTTGAGTTCGAATTGGACTAGGAGGGGGGCGGCGCCCCCTTTTTTCCTTCCCCTCTCCCACTCCTTCTTTCCCCCTCCTAGTAGGACTAGGAAAGGATGAATCCTATTCCTACTAGGAGGAGGATTCCTCCTCTCCTTAGCCGTCCCAAGGGCCAGCTGGCCTCCCCCCTTGCTCCTTTATATACGGGGGCAGGGGGCACCCTAGAACACACAAGTTGACATTGTTTAGCCGTGTGCGGTGTCCTCCTCCACCATAATCCACCTCGGTAAGCCCTGCGCCGGTAGCTTCATCATCACCGTCATCACGACGTCGTGCTGACAAAACTCTCCCTCGCCACTCAGCTGGATCTAGAGTTCGCGGGGCGTCACCGAGCTGAACGTGTGCAGATCGCGGAGGTTTCGTACCTTCGGTGCTAGGATCAGTCGGATCGTGAAGACGTACGACTACATCAACCGTGTTTTCATAACGCTTCTGCTTGCGGTCTATGAGGATACGTGGACAACACTCTTCCCCTCTCATTGCTATGCATCATCTAGATAGATCTTGCGTGTGCGTACGATTTTTTTTGAAATTACTGCGCCCCCCCCCCCCAACAGAGATAAGTGCAAGCCCACTGATGAAGTGCATTGTGGCTGTTCGAGTGTTGGCATATGGGTGTTCGACCGATGTGAAGACTATGTCTGCACTGGTGAAGACACAATCTTGGAGGTTGTTCAAAGGTTCACGAAAGCAGTGATCGCTGTCTTTGGCCTAGAGTACTTGAGAGCACCCAACGAGGAAGATACTCAAAGGCTCATGACAGAGAGTGAAGTAAGAGGATAGCGAGGGATGCTTGGATCACTTGATTGTATGCACTAGACATGGAAGAATTGCCCTGCATGATGGAAGGGTTGAGTACAAAGGTCATGACTTGTTGCATCATACTGCATAACACGACCATTGAAGACGAGAGGGATATGCATGAGAACTTTCGGTATATCACCAACGGAACTCCGATTGTACGAACAGGATCCTGTCATTCCTTGAGAAGCATCGCAAGATCGAGAACCGACAAGTTCATGCTCAACTCCAACAAGATATTATTGAGCATCATTAGGGACGTCTTAGCAAGTTCCAGTAGTTCTATCACATGTTATTTGCTACATATGGACCATTCGGTGTGTTTAAATTTGAATGATTCAGTTTGTAAACTTTGAATTCGGTTTGTAAACTATATTGGTGATTTGCTTGAACATTCACATTTATGTTTACTTTCTATATGTGTGCTCATATGTAGTTGCAATGTATACTAGAATTGCAAGCTTCGGAAAAAACAAAGATTTACTCCGTTATATATAGGGGATCGGCTAGGTCCGACCAAAACTTATTACCAAGGGTTTAGGGTGCCGGATCCTTCTCTATTTATTGGGCATCGGCATCCCCCGCGTCGCCTTGCTGGGCGTTATGGGGGAGACCTAGATCGAGCCCAGCCGCTCTCTCTCTCTCTCCTCCCCCCCCCCTCACCTTGCCGCCACCGGAGGAGCGACCGTGGAAGCCGCGTCGGCTTCGGGGAAGGTGGCAGTGGGACTCTTTTGGTCGGTTCGTGGGATCTCCTACTTAGTCCGCCCCATGGATGCATGCATGGCTTCCAGGTGTAGTAGATGCATGGAGATGGTGGCTGGGCACCCGATGATGCTCTAGTGTGCTGGTAGGTGGTCGTCTCAAGGCACCACCGCGATGGTCCAGCGGTGGAGATTGTGTGCACCGTCATCGGTATGGGTCATTGTGGTGATCACTCCGGCATGTGGCGGCGGCCTACTGCGGGTAGTGATGGCCACCGGAAGGTCCTCACGAGGGTTCTTCTATATAGATTTGGCGGTTGACTTCAACTGTGAGATGCAAACTATGGACGACCGCTTACGCGGAGGGATGGCTGTGCAACAACGGCAACCGCATCGCATTCAGTTGTTGTCTCGGTGGAAAAGTGGTGGTGACAACACATGTGTGACTTCGATATTGGTGCTACCTGAGCATCCAGTCTCGAGCTACGGGGTGAAAGCCTAGGTCTGACCCGAGTTGCTTATATCTGGCAATGATGATAGTTTTGTGTCGTTCCCTTGTAGAAGGTTTTGCTCAGATATGTTCAGACTGATTCTTCAGGGTGAAAACCTAGATTCTACTATGGGCGGTTGGATCAGGTGACGCCAGTGCTTGAGCGTCGCTCCCTTCTTCAAGACATTGCTGTTGAATAATCTCATCGTCGGTATGGTGTCATGATATGTTTCGTGCAGATACGGTCATTGTTATAGTTTGCTGATTGCGGGCTGGGTCGCCTTAGGTTATTTTCTTTTTCCTCGCCGATGTATAGCTTTGGTATTATATGACTTTGTTATTTGCCGTCATTTTTTGTGTATGCGTGTCGTTGATGTTGACTGTGTTCATTCTAGCTATGCAGAGACCGGACGTGTGTTCATTATGTTTGTATCCTCTCTACGTTTCATTTTGAGCCAACAAAATTTACCCTTTATCAACAATTTGCTGGGATCGGTTAGAAATACCCTAACAGACGGAGCAGGATGCATAAACCACAGCTGCAATTTCAAGAACTAACACAAGCACAGAAGAGAAAGAACACGCATTGTTGTAGTCGCACGTATCAGGTATCAATAAAACGTTTCCCCTCAAAAAAAAGGTATCAATAAAACGAGACGTGGTGTTTCTACTATCGTGTCCGATTCTGGTCAGGTTCCCGAGTTCGGAGGCGCCCATATAAGCAGCGCCGCAGCCTCTCTTCTTTTCTCGACTAGAACCCTACACGAGTTTTTTTTTTTTGGAGAGGAACCTGACCAGAATCGGACACGAACCCTACACGAGTTGCTCAAGTACCGGCTGAACGCGCCGCCGCCGTCGCCGTATCTCCTTAATCCGGCCTCTAGCTAGCCTGCGTGAAAGGTCGCGGAAGCCAGACATGGACCAGACCGAAGCCCTACCCGACGACACGCTCGCCAGCATCCTCGGCCGCCTCCCGCCGTGCGACCTCGCCGCGTCCCGCTGCGTCCGCAAGACGTGGCGCGCCGTCGTGGACGCCCACCGCCTGCTGCTCCCGCATTCGCTGCATGGCATCTTCATCAACTACATCGACTGCGAGAGCCCGCGCTGCTTCTCGCGCCCCTCCACACAGAAGCCCGCGATCGACTGCAACCTCGACTTCCTGCCTGGTTACGCCGAGGATTTCGATTCAATCGTAGACCACTGCAATGGCCTCTTGCTTTATGAGAGCGACATGAACTTGTGCTCCTACGTGGTCAACCCCGCCACGCGACAATGGGGACGTCTCCACTACAAGACCGACCACCGCCACCACCTCGCATACCTTGCGTTCGACCCCGCCGTCTCACCCCACTATGAGGTGCTTTTGATCCCGTGTGTGCCTGACAAAGTGGACCCTGCACAAGATTCCATGGAATGGCCACCATCCTCGTGGGTGTTTGATGTGTTCTCATCTAGTACAAGGAAATGGCTCAAGAGGTCCTTTATCCGCCAAGGCGAGGCTGCGGGCACGGTGACCGATGTTCGGGTAGATCCACTAGAGCCAAAATCTATGTGCGGGGGAGGTCCAAGGCGGCGATATAGTGCGTACTGGCGAGGATCACTCTATGTGCATTGTCGCGGTGCGTTTGTCGTCAGGTATTACCGCATCTTTGCAGAGTCGCACTTCTACTTCTCGAACGATGCTTCGGTGCTTTAAGGCACCTACCTTTGTATCTATGACATATGAGCCCAACAGGTGGCTGGCCCATATGTCAATGACCCAAAGGCAGGTGCCTTTAAGGCACCGAAGCTGCGTCCCTACTTCTTTTGTCTTAGTAGCGTTTTCTCTTATAATATTTGAATATTTATACGACAACTTCACCACTATAGCTATGAATTGATAATTTTGCAGATTATCTTTGTCGGACAGCAAGTACCAAGTAATTAAGATGCCAATAGATATTGCAGAAAGAAAACAGGATCAATATCTTGGCAAATCAGAAAAAGGGGTGTACCTTGCAGCTATAATATATGATAAACATATACTCCAAGTTTATACCCTTGTTGAATCAAGCAGACACATAGATTGGGTGTTGAAGTATCATGTTGATCTCGAGCCATGTGCAACGGCAGATTTCCGGATCGACACAGATGAGCTCGAGGGATTTGAAAAAACATGGACCTTGGATGGAGGACGACGAGAATGGAGATGGGGAGAAGCAGATGAAGAAGAAGGAGAAGGAGAAAACGGTGGGATGCTAATACCAGAGAATCTAGAATGGGACTCCGACGATGATAATGTTCTGAATGTTAAAGCTGATTATGGATGCTTCTATGGAGGGAACGTCTACTTCCTTGGCTTTCACCCTTACAAGGAGGTTGTTTTCTTGGGGTTATCATTTACAGGAATGGCTTATCATTTGGAAAGCTCGAAGGTTCAGTATCTTGGAGACATGCGCCCAAAAGATTACTATCATGGACATGCGAATGGCATATACGATTCATTTCCGTACACCCCTTGCATGATTGGGAGGCTTCAGAGTCATGCTTCAAGGAGTCGTCGCCGTCGCAGAAGTTAGAGCATTTCGGCTGTTTGACTGAACAATATAGGAAATGGCAGCCGATGTTTGGGTCCTCCGTTTTACCTTTGATGATGTTCTCGTTGAAACTGCTCCGGCAGGTCGGTTACGTGTTAACCTGCGTTCTGTATCATTTAGATTATTCAAGGGTCTAGTTAAGTGCCAAGAAGTCTTAGCCTTTTGCATTTCTCTGGTTTCTTCAGCTATTTGAGTATCAACTTTTGCAGTTGCATGAATGAGTAGACATGTACAACCGAATTCGTGCACCGATAGTTTGCAACCCTGAGCTTTGGGTTCTTCTGATTCCTCGATGATTCACTTGGATGGATGTATAGATTTTTTGTCCAAAAAAACCACCTGCCAATGAAATTGATAAAAAAGACCATCTTCAAACGAAATTGACAGAAGAAACCATCCCAGCTGTGGCGGCAGGCACGGCCCACAAGGCCAGGCGGCAACAGGCGCATAACAGCCAGCCAAGACCCAAAACGGAACGTGGGGCTGCATGTGATCCCTGCCGTCTAGTGGCGTGGTGGCATGACTGTTTGCCTACGTTTCGTTTCGTCTGTATTTTGTTTGGTCTGACGAATAATGGCGTTTTGTCTGTGTTTTGTTTTGTCTATGTTTTATTTCGTTTGACGAATAATGCCATAGATTCGTATGTCCCTACTGTTGATTCCTATACATATAGTGCACTGTTTTTGCAAATAATAATCGTTTATTTACAAATAATAATACAAGCCTCCGTCGCGGGTCTCATCATCGGCCTCCTTACACCGGCCTTAACGCCCGGCGGAACATCACCGTCGCAAGCCTCATTGTCGGCCTCCTCATGCCGGGATTCACCCGACGGACTTTCACCACCGTAGTCTCATCGTCGGCTTCCTCGCCCGGCGGAACTGCTCCGCCGCGGGCCTCATCGTCGGCCTCTTCGCACTGGCCTCATTGCCTGGCAGACCTTCGCCGCCGCAGGCCTTATCGTCGACCTCCTCGCGCCAACATCATCGACAGGCGGACCTTCACCGTCGCGGGCTTCATCGTCCGGCAAACTTGCTCCATCACATGCCTCATCGTCGGCCTCCTCACGCCGGCCTCAACGCCCGTCTGCCTCCTCGCGTACCTTCCCCGCCGTAGGTCTCATTGTGGGCCTCCTCACACCGATATCATCGCCCGTCTGCCTCCTCGCGTACCTTCCCCGCCGTAGGTCTCATTGTGGGCCTCCTCACACCGACATCATCGCCCGGCAGACCTTCACCGCCGCGGGCCTCATTGACGGCCTCCTCGCGCCCGCCTCATCGCCCAGAGGACCTGCTCCGTCGCGGGGCTCATCGTCGGCCTCCGGTGGCGAAGGTCCGCTAGGCGATGAGACCGACGATGAGGCTTGCGGCAGCGAAGGTCTGCCAGGCGATGAGGCCAGTGCGAAGAGGCCGACGACGAGGCCCGTCGCGGAGCAGGTCCGCTGGGCGATGAGACCAGCGCGAGGAGGCTGGCGATGAGACCTGCAACGGCGAAGGTCCGCCAGGCGACGAGGCCGGTGCGAAGAGGCCGACGATGAGGCCCGCAGTGGAGCAGGTCCGCCGGGCAGTGGCGGAGCTACAACGAACAAACTGGGCGGGCCAAACTAATGAAGAGCGCAAAAAAATATGAAAATTTGAACCATATACTATTTCAGTAGGCATAGACAATATGGAGCTGCATACTTGTTCTCATTGATTAGAAGATGCACACACATATTTATGTACATATATACTAGTACTAAACAAAAGAAGCCACAGTAGCTTACCATCGGTCATGGTCATCATGGATTCATGGTACAAATCAGCTTTCCGATCCTGGGTCACCTGTGCTGTTACATACTACTGTACTACTCTACAAATCAAGAGAGAAATTCACCTATGTCTGGGTCACCTGCAGCACGGCAATGACGCCGGAGTGGTCATTCGTCACAAGGACCGGCAGCTCAATAGCAGCCGCTGCTTGTTACTCTGCTTCTTGCTGCTGCTGCCGGATCGCCACTGGCCGGGTCGCCGCTGCAGCTACTGCGACCACATCAGATGGAGGATGCTGGGATGCGGGATGGATTGCTACTGGGAAGGGTAGGGGCTAGCTCCGACTAGCCGGACCTCTGCCGTCGGCCGGCGCCGTGCCCTAGTCGTCCTAGTGGAGTCCACGAACAGGGGATGGGGATGGATGTGAGCGGTGGGTGCGGTGTGCAGCTTTATTGGACTGAGCGTTTGGGGCTTTGGGCCATGACGCTATTGATTATGGGCTGTGCGCTATGTGGCTGTGGGCTGGGCTTTGAGCATATGTATTAAAAAAAAGTTTGGCAATTTTGCTGGGCGAGCCACGGCACGGTTTTGTCCATGAGTAGCTCCGCCAGTGCTGCCGGGCGAGGAGGCCGTCGCGATGAGGCTGACGATGAAACCCGCGGCAGTGAAGGTCCGCCGGGCGAATCGCCCGACACGAGGAGGCCGACGGTGAGGCCTGCGGCGGTGATGTTCCGCGGGGCGTTGAGGCCGGTGCGAGAAGGCCGATGATGAGGCCCGCGACGGAGACTCGTATTATTATTCATAAATAAACGATTATTATTTGCAAAATAGTGCACTGCATGCCTAGGAATCAATAGCAAGGACATACGAATATGTGGTATTATTCGTCAGACGAAACGAAACGCATACGAAACAAAACATGGATGAAACTAGCATACAAACAGTCTTGCCGCCACCCCACTAAGCGGCAGGGAGCACATGCAGCCCCCCGTTCCGTTCTTGGGTGCTTGCTGGCTGTTATGCGCCTGCTGCCGCCAGACCATGTGGTTATACAATAGTGCACTGCATGATCATGATCTATTACACAGAAACAGGCCTAAACATCAGGCGTCAAGGTGATTTCGATCACCTCGCGCTTGTAGGACTTCTCTGGAGCGAAGAGAATTTTTAGATCCCGTCGATGATGATGATTGCAACATATTCGGATAAAATTGATTTATGTCGCCCGTTAGATATGAATTGGGTGTTTGGTCTAGTGGTATGATTCTCGCTTCGGGTGCGAGAGGTCGCGAGTTCGATTCTCGCAACACCCCATTTTGTCTCTCCTTTTTTTTACAGCCAGAAACAAAAAAAACTCTCTCCAGTCCAGGTAGCTGCCAGCACAGTGCCACAACCGAGACGGACGTCAAGCCTCAGCACGGCAGCAGACAGAGCGCTATTCTTGGCGCCAAGCAAATTAAGCTCCTCCCCCTTCTACCTCCTCTCCCGTCCACCCGTCCCAGCCAGCCACCGCGTTTCGTGCCTGTAAATAGTCACGCGGCAAAGCGGCCGGTCTCGCGCGATCGATCCCTTTGACTTGATCAATCAGGAGAAGGCAAGAAAAAGGGTCGATCCATGGTGCCGGCAATGGCGTCCCGCCGGGCCGTCCTCGTCATGGTCGTCGCCGTCGCGGCGGCGTCGTCCGTTGCAGCCGACGATCCGGACTACAGTTACGTGTCGGGGGCCAAGCTGGGCCCGGAGAACTGGGCCAAGCTGAGCCCCAAGTACAGCGCCTGCAACGGCGGCGCTGCGGCGAGGAAGCAGTCCCCCATCGACATCGTCACCAAGAGCGCCGTCCCCAAGCCCGACCTCGACCCCCTCACCCGCACCTACGTCGCCACCGACGCCACCCTCATCAACAACGGCAAAGAAATCTCGGCAAGTCCCTTCCATTGACGCCTCCAAGCCGGCGACGCGCGCGCGTCCATGTACACTACTGACCGGCCGATTTGGTAAATGGCGATGCAGATGACGTTCAACGGTAAGCCTGGCGGCGTGACCATCGGCGGCAAGGCCTTCAGCCTCAAGAAGCTCCGGTGGAAGACGCCCTCGGAGCACACCATCAACGGCAAGAGGCACCCGGTCGAGGTCCAGCTCGTCCACGAGAGCGACGCCGGCTCCGGCGAGCTCGCCATCATCGCCATCCTCTACAAGGTCGGCGCCCCGGACTCCTTCTACTTCCAGCTCAAGCGGAAGCTGGCGGAGCTGGCGGCCGACCGGTGCAGCTACGGCGAGCAGGACGCGCGCGTGGCGGCCGGCCTGGTGCACCTGCGCTCGCTGGAGAAGCGGACGGGGAGCTACTTCCGGTACATGGGCTCCCTCACGGCGCCGCCGTGCGCCGAGAACGTCTACTGGAACGTGCTGGGCAAGGTGAGGCAGATGACCAAGGAGCAGATCGACCTCGTCACCGCGCCGCTGCCGGCCGCCGCCAAGCAGAACGCCCGGCCGGTGCAGCCGCTCAACGGCAGAGTCGTCACCTTCTACAACCCGCCCAACAGTACCATCTCCTTCGACATGTGATCTTACCCCATTAGATGGAATGCTAATTAACCTAGAAATCAACGTACTGATCAGCTAATCTCGTGTTTGCCTTGTCATTATCTCTTCGCTGCTTTACTCAGATGAAACATTGTCAGAAAGATCTTGGCATGATACCTTGTTGTAGTACTAATTATAACGATCATCTGAAACTCTGAATCATATTAGCTACTGCACTGGCCAAGATTCCAGGGCCAATTTAGTAATACCCCAATACTATCTGAAATTCAGTCTAGTTTATCTGAATTCGGAATCGTTTCTGAACTTTCCTTATCTTGATGCAACGAACCAGAAGCGCAAAATTAAAATTGGGTACACTGCAAGTGAATACATACATTCCCCAGTTTTCTTATTCCATCCTTGTTAACAGCATCAGAATGAATAGCACATACAATTGCTATTTAGTTTGGAAAATAAATCCAGTGACTCCAGGGCTGGCGATTATCCCTTCTGTGATAACTGAGCCTGATGGCATATACTCGCTCTTGCGGCACAACAAATCCGTGTGGTCCATTGCCTGAAATGTAGAAAGGCATTTAGTTTGGAAATTCGACATGAACAATACTCCCGAAGAGTCGTAGGGTTAGGAAGCCCACATTATCACGATATTGAATGGCACTGTTTCCGACATAGACTCCGTACCAACTCGTGTTACTATTTAGATTCAAACAAGAGAGAAATTCCAGGTTTACGTCCATCATCAGAAATAACAAATAATTCCATTGTGTCCAGTCAATATTCCAGCAGAAATTAGCTAATTCCAGGTAAGTTGATGCTTAATGCCAGTGGATTTCATGCAGAAACTATTCTTTTTCTACTTAGCTCTTTTATTTGCACTGAAATCCTGCAAACTAGTAATTCTTGTGGTGCCAATAGCACTAAACTTAAAAATGTATGCCAAACTAGTAACTCTTGAAAATGCACCTGGCGCAACGACTCGCTCTTGGAACCATCACTAATGATATTCAGAACTCGAAGCAACCAATAAGTTTAATACCAAGGACTGCACCATGTTTTGACAATTTACACCTTTCTCATTACAGTAGAATTCGTTTGGAGGTTATGGTACACATTATGCGACACCATTACCAGCTCTTCAGTGATTTACATGCCCAGAAATGTTCAGGCAACAGAAAAACAGAAGCCACCCACGGTATCCATAGCTCAACTTACATTCAATGTGATATGCAAACTTGACTAGCCAGAGTTAAAGTTTCTACATTCCTCTCTTCAGAGCAATTAAATTTGAATGTACTGTAATATTTTAGTTGTAGATATCCAGTTAGTTAGAAGTTAGTGGAGAGGTCTGTACTAGCCAATATACAGGAGCGCAGTTTGGGATTTTGAGATAATCAATATTCATGGCATCATAACCCCATTACAGTGATGCATGACGGAGCCAACGATCTTTTTTTTTTGATGGACTGACGGTGATAAAATGCATACTCTGCAACAATAAATAGATAACTAAAACAACGATGCAGCTAGTGGACAATGCAAAATGGCACCTCTGTATATATAGGCTGCATACTGGATCCTCAATTTATGATGTAACAACATAAATTCAAGTTTGAGAAGGGATACGGAGGATCATGGTTTTCAATTTCAGTTTCAGAAAAATTTCAGCACCAACTGAAATCATCGAAATTCAGCGAATTTCAGTTTTCATTTCAGTCAAAGGGCCGAAATATTCACTTGAATTCAATTAAGATTTTGAATATTTTGAAAAACATTTGAATTTATGTGTACTACTGAAACTGCTGAAATTAATGAAATTCAGTGAATTTCATTGAAATCTCACCGAAAGTGAAAACCATGTGGAGGATCAAGGATACTAGCACATGTTTACTACAATAGAATTAACAGTAAAGCACATAATCAGTCACTTAACAAGGAACAGTGCAGCTGTTTCTGTAGTTTCGGAGCCAGAATTCGTGAATAGGACAAATAGTGTATTCAGATGCGTGATCAAACTCGAAAACATGACAGCTTACACTACTAATATAAACAGTGACGAAGTCAAATAAACTGATGTGCGATGAAAGAATAATTTAAGGCGTGTGTGTCACCAAGTAAGTGGCGCGCCCAAATCTAACCACGAAACAAACAGATCTGCGACGAAGTAGTGGCTGCTTTTCTGCAATCTACCGAAGGCTTAGGTTTATTTAATTTCACTAATCTGGATGAAGTCGCACTTGAGCAAGGAATGCTGGGCAGAGTACTAACATATTTTAGGGAAACTATGTGCTGAAAAGAAGTGGTTGTACAGCTAAAGTTGAATTTTCATATTGTATTCAGGTCCCTGACGGCAGAGTATTGCACAATTCAAAATCTGTCCCCATTGTGAGTAGGAATGACTAGATGGACACGGTGAAAGCTGGATTAAACTCACTGGAATAAGAGGAATGCCTTTGGAGCTGTGGTCATGGCCCATGACGACATCGTTCCTGTAATAAGAGACAAATGGAAGGTTGTAAGAAAGGACGGTGAGAAACAATGCAGTGACACGACAGCTGAGGAAGAAAATTCGAGGGCCGACGTTCTACCTCTCAAGCTATGCTGCTGATCTTCTGCAAGAAGATGGTGGTGCAAGGTATGTTGTCAAGATTAGTTCTGAAATTTTCATCAAATTTCCACAGGATGTCAGGACTGCATTGTCAAGAACATGTGAAATTGCAACAATTCAGAAACGAGCCAAAAGCAGATGAGGAAACTAGCAAAATTTTGTCTGATTTTCAAATCCATATCATGATCCCACAAATGTGTTGTCCTAATTAATACTATCAGTATATACAGACAAACAGAAACAAGTTTACTAAGCCTAGAGCACGGCAACAACAAGCAGCAGAAGCGGACACAAACCAAACCCAACCCGAGAGCAAAATTAAATCTCCTGCCCGCGCTACAACGGCCCGGATTTCGCCACGCGGTCGTCCACCTCCATCTGGGCCGCCCAATCCGCCGCCCGCCTCCCCGACGCGAACCGCATGACCCCTCCCAGCCCGGGCGCCGGCGCCGGCGCGGCCTCCTCCGTCTCGGCCGCCTTCGCCTCCCTCCGCCTCGCTGCCGGTGGCGGGGGAGGCGGGGACCAGTCGACGCTCTCCACGGCGCTCTTCCGCGAGCGGCTGCGGCGCATGAGGAAGCCGAGTCCAGGGCAGCAGCCGGAAGGAGGGCGCTCCGAGGGGGGCGGGCGAGGCCTGCGCCGCGCCCTCTCGCGCTCGGAGAGCACCTTCCCGATGCACGAGACCTTGGGGGAGCTGGGCTCGTCCTCCGGGACGGCGGGCCTCGGGTTGCGGCCGCCGCCGCCGGTCTTGGCCTTCTTGGGGAACATGGCGGGCGGGTGCTGCTGGTGGGTCCGCCGCGCGCCGCCCTGGCCGAGCTTCCCGGAGAGGCCGATGATGGGCGCCGCCGTGGGCTTCAGGTTCCCGGAGAAGCGCTGCGACGCGGCGCCGTTGTGGTGGTGGTGGTGGTGCTGGCCGGGCGCGCTCGGGTTGTGGGCCTTGAGCAGGCACTTGGGGTTGGTGTTCTCCTTGAGGGAGTCGTCGCGGTCGTAGACGCCGCCGACGTCCGCCCAGGCGATGTCGTCGCCGATGCGCAGCCGCGTCGAGTCCGGCGGGTAGCCGCCGCGGTCGCGCGAAGTTGACGTCGCCATGAGAGAGGAGGAGAGATCGGTGGGAGGAGGGGCGGGGAGGGGAGGGGAGGAAGAAGTCGTCGGCGGGTTCAGGTTCCGGTTCCGGTTGGTCGGCGTGTGGCGCGGTTTAAAAGGAGGGAGGGAGTCGTATGCGCTCGCGTCGTTGGGGATTGCCGGGAGCGTGGCTGGGTGCGTGCGGGTGGGCGTCCTTTTCTTTCCGCCTCGATTTGTTTTCCCTCTCGGTATAGTAAACGGTTTATCAAAAGTCGGAGGAGTTGTGGTTTGTGTGGGCCTGGTTTACAACACACCGGGGTCAGGATGGCTCCAGGAAAACCCTGCTCCAGATTCTAGAAGCACCAGCGTTGCGATGCTACCCGTGGGCGGCGTGTGCGTGGACGGAGAAGGCCAGTAAAGAATCTTGTGTTGAATTTTTTTTTCTGAAAACTTGAATTAACAATCTAATTGCCGATTTGAGTATGTATAGGATGAGGCAAGAACATTTCTTTAGTTGAGTTTTTGGTAAGATTTGATTTGATTTGGGTACAGCTAGGAGAAGGCAAAAAAAAGTTTTAATTTAGTTGAGATTTTGGTAAGATTTGATTTAATTTTATTTAGACATGACATAATTTTGATAAGATTTGATTGAGTAAATGTAGGGTATACTCCCTCCGTTCCAAATTATTTGTCTTAGATTTGTCTAGATACAGAGGTATCTAACACTAAAATGAGTCTAGATACATCCGTATCTAGACAAATCCAAGACAAGTAATTCGAAACGGAGGGAGTAGGTTTTAGTAGGAAAAAGAAAAGGAAGTACTGATTTAATTTAGTTATTCTAAACCAAAGAAGGGATCGTAGAAAAAAAACATAGAGGGGAATGGGAGAAGGTTAGAAAGTAGAGATTTTTTTAATATTGTGAGCATGGAAATACCTAGTGCGATATCCCCCGATATCCACATCACAGTCCAAGCGCCCAACTCATGAGCAAACGCGCCTGGGATAACCACAAACGCATGTGATCGCATGAGCAACAGGTAACTTTTCGACCTGACCCGTATCATTCGCACAGGGTACAATCCACGTCTCTAAAGGGCGGAAAGAAAACCCTCGAACCCACCCACCCCCTTCTCTACCAATCGAGAGGCGACGACGCACACCTCGATCCCCTCCGCCTAGCGACTGAGAGCAACACATCTGTCTTCCTCTGACGATGTCTCCCAGTGCTAGCCTCCGAGTTTCTTTGCCCTCCGGCGGTGACCCAGTGGTCGTCTCCTTCCCCGGGTTCCACCATGCCACAAAGCTTTTGTCCCTTCCGGCAACGGCGGTCGCCCGACGGCTATCTTCCTTATCCTTTGACGAAGGTTATTA